CGTTCAAACGAGAGTGTTGTGGCTATGAACAAAGGTACCTATCCCGCAAAACCGCGAAATTGCAACTAAAAATCTGCCCAGTGGGTCTCTAGCGTGTGCCACGCTACTGGACTGGGAAGTCCTGACTGGCGGGTCAATCGATCGTCACAACAAGAACAGTTATTGGGTCGTCGTTCGATGAGTCGGGCACACCGATCACATCGCTCAAGTGTGAAGACGTTCGCCTGTTCAGAGGTGATAATTCAGATCCGTCCAACGTGCGTTGGTGCAGTAGTGGTTACACCCTCGCCTCGCATGTCAGACGTCCGGGGTTCAAATCCCAGCACAGCCGTTGGGTATGCACTGCTGATGAGCGAAACTCTAGTCCAGTGTGGTGTTTACGCCACAAGTGGAAGCCGACCGTTCAAACGAGAGTGGTGTAAGTATGAACAAAACTTAAGTAGTTCGATGATAAAATATCGGCTGAGGTGTTAAATTATCCACTTCATTCACGAGTCCCACATGTGGAAAACTAAATGTTCTCTACGAACAGTTGACGATAAATCATTGATCATACATCTTACATGTTCAGGACAAGCACCGCACTCTACTCCGATATGAGTAGTATATTTGTGCTGCAATGAATTCACGCTACACTCATTTTTAGATGTCGACAACACAAATTCCGATGGCATGCCTGGATTGTAAACAATCAGACGGTGGTCGGAAGCTGAAACAGGTGGGTGAAGGGATGACAGTAGGCCAAGTCCACTGACTTCCAATAATGTTACACAACGCTGTAGGTCGCAGGTAAAACCAAGCTCGGTGTAAGGACAGCAAATAAGTTAGCTATTCATTTGGTGGGGACAACCTTTTGAGAGAAATCTTGTACCCGATAAACAAAAGACAATAACACGATCAGTTGTTGTGCGACAGCACTGGGAATTGATGTCGAAGAGTGGGTGGGATCTTATGTCAGTATCGCACGTGTGAATGTTGTCCAGCTGCTGTGCTCTGCATTCATTTGAGTTCATTTGTTCACGCTTGCACTGTCGCCCTGGCAACGCTTCGACCGAAAGAGATTAATATGCCCAGTGCGAACCAGTGGGTCTGGCTAATATGGAACAAAACAACGTTACAGTGTACCAGTTAAGACACAATGTGAGCTGACTTGAAAGCGAACACACCTACATGGGGACTGCGCCTAGCAACCATCTTGCTAACGACTTTCATGAGAGGCAATGCTGCAACGCATTGTAATGTTAGGTTATCTGCTGCGAGGAATCTAGATCAACAAGCTAATGTCCAAACTTTCATATCCGTGGAAAAGTGCGTACAAGTTGCACATCCGTATGCTAATATGTGTAGCGGACTTAGGACTTTGCTAGCGTGTTGGATCAAATAAACGAGCAAAGTAACAAAATCACAATAAGAAAACAATACACAATTTCTAAGGATTCACGAATGCGTAGATCCAATAGTCCACTACACCGATTCCAATGCAATAACCGGCTGTGAAGGAAATATCCACTTGTAGAAGTATTCCATTGATCATTCACGTGTGAGTAGTATGTTCCATGATAGAAAAGTGATTCACAGCTAAACCAAAATGTCACAAAAATGTCTTACTAGTTCAGCAGTTAGTGGAGCGTAAGTCCACCGATTCGTCAAGAAGTCAGAAAATGTTTTTTGTATTGCACCATTTTTTAATTTTATGTAATTATTGGTACAATAAAATAAACGTCATGCTAAAATATGTACAACAGTTACAAAATGTAGTTTAAGTTAAGGGAAAATGGTAAATAAACGTGACAACGGATTGCAGACACCACACCTATCCTCGAATTTTGCAAAAATGCCGTTGTACTCCCATTTGAATAAGCTGGAGGGTCCAGCATTTATACGCGCACGAACATTGCAACGCAGTTCATAATTAATTGTAAGGATGCAGACTCGGTATGAAGTTAGCCGTGAGCTAAACTTCCGTGTTACGTAGTCTAATATGGCCTTTGATAATCCCGGTATGCAGGATGGAACTACAGAAACCAGTTGCCTAAACGCAAGTTACATGACTTCATGGCATGGGTCCATTTGTGTGTTTGTTTCACGGTGAAAGGCTGGCCATAACCGACACTGTCCGAATGCCCCGAATTCACATAGAAGTTACGGACCGGTGATGCACGTGGGAGGCCGATGTGATTGTCCTCACCTACAGATTCACCAAGAACGGCTCAGCTGAGACATTTGGCGTTTCTCCTCCAAAACGACGCTATTAACCATCAGAAAGTCGGAATCCGTTAAACGTCTACGATGTTGAGACCGCTATAGTTTATTAAAAGAGTGGATAGGTGGTGCATCCGCTTACGTTTCGGAGGCTGTAATGTACGTAGCGTTGGATAAGTTGGTCAGCTAGTGTGCAAGCTCGCCTACCTAATTGGTCTGTGGTGCAAGTCGAACCAGGGTGCGGTGATCAGATTCGGCCTACTGTATGTTTGTTGCCTGTACGTCCAACATCTCTGCTTCAGCGTAGTTCCACCTTATTCGCATTTCATCCCAGGTGTATTACGTTTATCCGAAGTTTCGCCCGAGGTTCGGTTTATCGCCTGTTTCCACCGTCCTATTAAGCAATCGAATATTTGACCTCATTTAGTCCAATATCTTGGGGGAGATCAATGGAGGCTTGTAAGTGGCTTATCTCGGGTCGCGCTTGCGATCCGAAGTGACCTTGTGACATGTTCCCCCTCACCGGCTATGCCTGTCCAGATTTGGGTGTTTCAGCCCT